TTTTAATATTGTTTAAGATATACAATGCCATTTTTTTTGATTGTACAATTTTTTTTAATTGTAATTCTGATGTAATTCTGATGAAGTCGGTATTTTATGAATGGAAATGTACACCACTTTACATATGTCAAATCTGAAAGAAACCAGTAGAATCTGACATCAACCCTCTCCTGATGCAAACAAAAGGATGATTTCAGGTCCTTAGAATTATTTGGTAACCATGGAAAGATAGGAGGAACACCTACTGCATTCCTTTACCCAGAGCTTACTACATCTGGCTGGGGTAAGAGCACCATGACTACTGGTATATCAGAACCATTTACATTTATTTAGGCTTTTAGTTTCCGTTATACCAGTAGACTAGGGATGTTTTTAACCTGTTGGACCAGATCCCATAACCCTAACAAAAAGTTGAATTAGATGGAACATCGGTAAAAAACAAATGTGTTCTTTTCAGTCAGAGGCTTTTCAGAAAAGTGTGTTATACGACGCTGGACTTCCTCACACTATGTGTATATCGCTGTCCTATGGGAAGGTCTAATGCATGTGTGCGACCATTGCTGCGTATGCGCATTAGGTCTCCCCCGCTGGCTGACTTCGGCGGGGGAGGAGAGTAGGCGGAGCCTGACCCAGCACCGAGGGACATCGGCGCTGGACTCCGGTAAGTCACTGAAGGGGTTTTAACCCCTTCAGCAACTTGGGATGGGGGGTGGGAGGGAGAGGGGCACTGTAGGGTCCTGCAGTGCCAGGAAAACAAATATGTTTTCCTGGCACTGGAGAATCCCTTTAATATCAAGAGAATTTAGAAAATAAAATAACTGTATGTATATATATATATATTTGTGTTCGGGGCAAATAGCCGTATATGGAGTAAGGTTCCAGCATAAGTGTAGGATAGTATAAAGGGAGCAAGTCGGTTGTGGTGTGCCAGGACCGATGATACGGTAGGCCTGTAAATAAAGAGGGCCCACCAAGGAGTAAGTAAGTAAAGTAAATGGAAAGAAAAGAGAAAGTGTTGAAATGAGGAGGGGGTGGGAGGGTCATTCTGATGCTGACCTCAAGCGATATGAGTGAGGTAAGGGGTGTCCCTTATATAGGGGAGTGAATTAATTTAAGCCCCTCCCACAAATACAGGCCAAACGGCCTTAAAACTTGTGTTCGGGGCAAATAGCCGTATATGGAGTAAGGTTCCAGCATAAGTGTAGGATAGTATAAAGGGAGCAAGTCGGTTGTGGTGTGCCGAGACCGACGATACGGTAGGCCTGTAAATAAAGAGGGCAAAAAGAATAATCAAAGATTTAATACAGTCAACAATATATACAAATTAACCAGACATTTCCTTAAATGCATTACGGTATTTAATTCCTTGAAGGATTTTGAAGGTAGGAATCTAGGACCGCAACTGGACACCATTTGTTGTGGGTAGGAAGTATGTTATCTCTACTGTTGGTGTGTGTTGACTTGTTTCGGAATGTGGTAGAGCCAACAGGTAATGATATATGTGTTTACATACGTGGGATCGTTGAAGACAATGATCTGTCTGAGTGGTGGTTATGGTAGTGGATTCTCTGGCCTGAGAAAGGCATAAAAGGCAGTGTGCATGGCTGGTAATGGCCGACTTGGTAGTATAATTGAATGGTTGTAGCTCTAATAGGTCCGAGAAGGATGCAAAAGTTGGATGGCTATTGGTAATCTCTGAGTGGAACGTGGGGGGATGGTATAGTATATTCTTGTCTGGTATGATAACATAATATTAAGATTTGTATTTTTTTAGGTGCGTACCTACGATTATTATTCTTGTGACACTCACAGATTTTTTTTTTACCATTACAAACTGCTGAATTGTTTACAGCCAGCTCTGTACAAAGCAGGATTTAGAATCACAGTTAATACTTAATTGATGCTTGTCTGTTTTTTGATGAAAAATAAAGCACTTTCCAGTGCATTTTAATGTTCAAACCTTTTGAGCTCTCCCTGTTTAAAGCTAGACATACAGCAAAGAGATGGGAATATTACAGACACACCGGTTTCTATAATGTGACTGCATTGTTTTCATCCTCTTCCAATACCACAGCTTCTACTTAATCCAAAAAGCTTTTGAGGCTTAGCCTTAGCAATAATGTACCACACTGTGAGAGCAATGTTATCTGCAAAAACTATATATAAAGATACATGTAATGATATGATCAGGCTAAATCACAAAACACTAACTCAGCCAAATGAGTTTGAAAGTGACAACATGCCGATGGCACTTTGATTCTTCTTTCATTGCTTGGGGATTTTGATTAACACAAAATGTATTTTTCTGTAAATAACAACATGAGCTCAGCTCTAGTTATTTTTTAGAACAAAATGTACCTACACGGATTAGATGGTACTTTCACCGCTAAGTACACCCTGCTAAAAGAAGGATATAGAGGTAAGAAAAAGCAGTAGCAATATAAAGTCACAGTAATCATTGGCAGCTCAGCATAGCTCCAACTCCCATTACTCAGTGTTTAACAGACCATCCAAACCCCTCTAGTACAGTAAAGCAAATCATTTGTGCTGATAATATTCACAGCATGCAGGACTACAGATTTAAATCAGGCACAATGTGAGAGTTCTTAATGTGATTTATTTTTTTCATAAAACTAAGTTATAGTCCATATTTAAATTCAAGAACTGTGTGGTACAAAACAAAACACAATGTGTAAATATTTACATATCAAGTATTGAACATGCATTTCCGGCACACACTCGTATAAGCTTGCATTTCCTATTTATTTTAAAGATTCTAGTAGTGATGTTGCAAAAGGCAAGCAATAAGATAAACATGTTTCCATTTCTCTGCTACTGTATCCCTTAAAAAACTAGCTGCATGTCAGAATTGTAAAGAATATGGCAGACATGGCGAGCTCTGTTCATGGTAGAGTTAAAGTTTTGTGCATGGAACATGCTAGACAATTCATAAATAATAAAACATCATCTAATAATTATTGGAAGCATATAGTTGTTCCAATATAGAATGTTACTGGAATATATTACAGTACACAATGGGACCTCGGTTTACAAACGCCTCGGTTAACATAATTTTCGGTTAACCTGGGAAGTTTATAACACCGCCCCCTGCATTCTGGAGTCTGTGGGTAGCACATGGCGTCGAGTGTGGAGGTGTTGGAGGTGTTGGAGGTGTTGGAGCGGCTTTTGCATCGAGTTTTGGAGCCAATCTGGAAATTGTTTGCAGTTGTTTTGAGACTTTTTGGTGCATTCTCAAGCTGTGGAAAGGTAGGGAGCTGAGCTTCGTCGTTTGCATGCCTTTTATTGTGTGTTCTGCATTGTGGGTTGGTTTCCATGCCAACTCATTTTGACTTTTTTCTGACCTCCAGAACGGATTAATTGGTTTACAATGCATTCCTATGGGAAACCACGTTTCGGTTTACAAATTTTTCGCAATAAGAAACGTCCAGGAGAACGCATTCAATTCGTAAACCGAGGTCCCACTGTATTTGATTGACAGAGTGAAAACATAGTGAAATGGACACTGCAGGTCCCCAAACAACTTCAGGAAGTGCAGCGTGCTGCCTGGAAGGGGCTTTGCTGACTGTCTGAGTGCGGTCAGCTGATGCTATCAGCCAATCAGTTACTCCCTATTCACTAAACTGGCTTTGAAGAGGTATGTTTATTTCCAAGCCAGTTTAGTGAATGGAGTGTCACAGATTGGATGAGAGAGTCAGCTGACCATTCTCAGCAAATCAGCTGCACCCCTGCCTGGCGGTACTCCACTTTCTGAAAATTCAGAAGCCACATGCTGCCTGGGGGGAAGAAAATGTCGCCACTGGAGGGAACTTGTTAGTTAAATCGTTTGATAGACGCTAAGATTATGAAATTGAGGTAAAATCACATTGACTGACCAGGCAGGACAATACACTACTTTAATCTCAGTATAATACATCTTTCTATTTATTCTGTGTCTTTGGCTAGAGATTTTCCTCTACAATGAGCATGACTAAACACTAAGGAGCGCTGCACACATACAGGATTATCCACCAAAGTGAGAATTCAATGTCAATTTAAATGGAATTTCAAATGTTATGTCCAAGTATTCAAACTAGAAACATTCTCTAAGTTAGATATACTTTTAGTACAGCTACTCAGGCCCTAAACTTTAAATTTACTTTGAGTTCTCACATTAGTAAATTATCCTGTTACAGCCTTAAACAGACTGAAGCACCACAATCCCATAACACAACACAAAGATTGAATATTCACACCTAGTCTTACAGGATAATGGATGTTCCCAGAAAACTGTTTATAATAACACAGAATGCTCAAACCAAGTTACCAAAAAAAACACATCTCTTCTTCCATTGGTTTAGAGATTGCAATTTATGTCACTTGGTAAAAATAATATAGCATATATCTTATTATAATAAAGAAAACAAAGTCAAATCCTGAGAAATGCCAAATTGTCTTTTTATCCCATCTCTGTAATGCACATATTAACTTGAAATAATGAACCCATGTGTAGAGACACCAAAGGGCATATTTACAAAAAAATAAGCTGCTCTAAAATGGTAAACTTTTGGAAAAATAAGACCACAAATTAGCTATTCTTGAAGTAACAACTGACTCACAAAACTAAAACAATTTAATTGCTCAAGTTGGCTACTTTATATCAGAGGTGCCCAAAAGGTAGATCCCCAGATGCTGTAGAACTATAACTCCCATGATGCTTTCCATGCCTTTGGAATGCATTTATAATGACAAATCATCATGAAATCGGTAAGAATATTTGTAGATACGCATCAGCTATAGCATTCACAAAAGCAAATTAGTTTATATAATGCTCTGGTATATTGGCATTTTGTCTACTGGACTAATACAGCTAATCCAATCTACAATATAAATATATATATATATATATATATATATATATATACACATATGTTTTAAGGCCGTTTGGCCTGTATTTGTGGGAGGGGCTTAAATTAATTCACTCCCCTATATAAGGGACACCCCTTACCTGACTCATATTGCTTGAGGTCAGCATCAGAATGACCCTCCCACCCACTCCTCATTTCAACACTTTCTCTTTTCTTTCCATTTACTTTACTTACTTACTCCTTGGTGGGCCCTCTTTATTTACAGGCCTACCGTATCGTCGGTCTCGGCACACCACAACCGACTTGCTCCCTTTATACTATCCTACGCTTATGCTGGAACCTTACTCCATATACGGCTATTTGCCCCGAACACAAATAATATATATCACTGAAATTGAATGCAAATGATTTTGTCTATAACGCCATATTTCAAGTCATTGCTATTTGAATAGCTTTGCATTGATACATAATACAGTTCTTACTTTTTAATATAAAGTGCTTCCATATTTCAGACTCTATAATAACTTAACTGTAGTTTCCTATAAACATCACATCGTATCTGTGTGAAATATAAGCATAAAAAGCACAAGATGATACATTGACACTTTAGATTGTAACTGCTATAGCTTGGCAGCAATTTATTATTTAACATATGGCCGGAGTAATTTTGGCACTAGATACTGCGCTGGTAGTGCTGTATGAGTTGTGTTGCTAATTTAAGATATTATGATTTTGTTAACTGTTTGAAAGCCTAAACTGACAAAATAGTACAATTTTACTGATATGAAACTTTCAAAAATATATATCACTGATAGGCAAGGTTTGAGCAAATGTCTTTGTTAGGTCTTTTATCAATTTTGCTATAACGGCCAAATATATATCTTTCCATCTGCCACTCTATATACCACCGAATGTACCGTTCTACATTATGTTTGCTATATAAAAATAATTTGACACATGTTATCACCAGACAGATGAACAACTGAACATGGTGATAATGTGGTTCAACCAAAGTGGACTAATTGCTTGGGAGCAACTTAGAGGAGAATCTTCTGAATATATAACACCTTAGTATATATTAATTCTGACTTAGAGCATAACCCATAACTGTATTATATAGAAACAGTATAGTCACCACAACAACTTTAGCTTAATGAAGCAGTTTTGGTGTATAGATATTGCCCCTGCAGTCTCACTGCTCAATTCTCTGCCATTTAGTAGTTACAGCACTGTGGAATCTGTTGGCGCTTTATGAATACCAGTAATAAATAAATAAAGATAGCTTTGTTAATACAGCCCTATTCACACCTCCCTGCATGTGACTTGTATAGGCTTTCTCTAAACTTCCTGTATAGAGTCATCTAATGTTTACACTTCCATCATTGCAAATTCAGTTTAATTTAGAATTGTGTATCTCCTGCTCTTTTAGTAGCTTGCTAGACCCTTCAGAAACCTACAATAAAATTAGTTTTTTAGCATTTTTCACAAACAAACAAATATGAAAGCTAACTTTGGCCAGTGTTTGTGACTAAGTGGCTACTAAAAAAGAATGGACATTTATAATACCTTGGGTTGTCTACTTTTGCAAATGATATTCTATCATGGGGTAATTCTCATTCCTGGGCTACCATTTGGACTCAAAGGCAACATAACCAGTCGGGCAAATTTCAATGTGTATAAACTAAAAAATGTAACATGCTATATTTGACCCTGTAACTTTCCAAAACCCCATAAAACATATACATGGGGGGTACTGTTTTATTCGTGAGACAACGCTGAATACAAATATGTGTACTTCCTTGCAGTAACAGCTAACAGTATTATGACATTCACAGTTAAAATGCCATGCAGAACTAAAAAAAATAACAAAATTTCTTCATTTCTCAAATTGTTTTAAATTTATTTCATATTAAATTATGTTTTATAGATAAATATTTCATATGAAATGAAAGCCCTGTTTCTCCTGAACAAAATTATATATATTAAGTGTGTGTGCATTTAATATGAAAGCGGTAAATTACAGCTAAACACAAGCACCTCAGAAATGTAAAAACAGCCTTCGTTCTTAACAATCAGAAAATTGAAAAATGGTCTGTTCACTAAGGGGTTAAATCAGCATATAAATTGCTTTGTCTACCTAATAAATAGGAATCACCATCGCTAAATCTATGCATCTCTATGAGAGTTTTTTAACTTGTCTGGAGAGTTTTCTATGCCAGCATAATTGATTCAGTACAGAAACTAGTAAATGCAACGTTTACGTAAATTTTTCATAGCGGAAATTTTTTTTAAGGTAGACCTCTAATATACCAAGTCCTAAGAATCCAAAAGAGAAGAGATACAGAATATGCAACGAGTGCTATATTATGTATGTTGGGTATACAACCACCAGAGTTCATGGTGCTTATAAGAACAGACGCCATCGAAGCACTAGTCTGCCATCACTGGAGATTTGTGAGGCATGTGACCAGCAGGGCTGGCGCATCCTATAGGCGACTTAGGCAGTCGCCTAGGGTTCCCCTTGGGAAGGGGCGCCGACCCCTCAAATGCTGCAGCTGCCTGAGTACTCTACAGAGAGCCTCAGGCGGCTGCAGCTCTGCCCGGCTGGCTCATCCATTAGGGGGTGAGTAGAAAGGGGGGGGAGACTACTATGGGAGGGAAGGGGGGAGAGAGACCACTATATAGGAGGGAGGTGGGGGTGAGGAGAGACCACTATGGGAGGGAGCTTGGGGTGAGGAGAGACCACTTTGGGAAGGAGGGGTGATTAGAGACCACGAAGGGAGGTGGGGGGTGAAGAAGAAACAACTCAGGGAGGGGGGTTGAGGATAGACCACTAAGGGAGGTAGGAGGGGGGAGGAGAGACACTACTAAGGGATGTGGGGGGACGATGAGAGACCCCTATGGGGGGTTGAGGAGAGACCACTATGGGAGTGAGGGGTGGGATGAAGGAGAGACCACTATGGGATGGAGTGGGGGTGGAGGAGAGACCATTAAGGGGATAGTGGGGTAGAGGAGAGATCACGAAGGGAGGTGGGGGGTGGAGGAGAGACCACTATGGGAGGGGGTGAGGAGAGACCACTAAGGGTGGGGGGAGAGGAGAGACCACTAAGTGACAGGGGAGGAGAGATACTAAGGAGCAGGGGGGGAGCACCAAGGGACATGGTTGGTAGGAGAGAGCTCAAAGGGACGGGAGGGGAGAGCACTAAGGGAAAGGGGGCAGGGAGATCACTAAGGCACAGGGGAGATCACTAAGGGACAGTGGGGCAGGGAAGAGCTCAAATGGACAGCAGGGGAGAGCTCTAAGGGACAAGAGGGGAGAGAGGCTAAGGAAAGAGGGAAAGAGAAGCACAAAGGGGCTGGTACAACTCAGCCCCTATCCTACCCCACAAACTCTCTATTTCAAACAACATACAATGCATCCCTATACATAAAGAGAAACACACAATAGATCCATTACACACACACACAAAGACAATGCACCCCTTGCATACATACACAGAAAAACACAATGCATCCCTTACACACACACTGCATCCCTTACACACAGAAACACACAATGCATCCCTTACACACACTCAATGCACCCCTTACACGCACTCAATGCAGCCTTTACAGACACACACATTGCATCCCTTACATACACAGAAACACACCTTGCATACCTTACACATACAAACACAGATTCACACAATGCATTCAGAAACACATGATTCATCCCTTACACACAAACACACACTGCTTTCTATCCCTTACACAAAAACACACTGCATCCACTACACACACACTGCATCACCTACACAAACTGGTATCCCTAGGGTGGCAAAAATCCTTGCACTGACCCTGGTGACCAGCCATGGTGAAGCCAGAGTCAGAGGAGAAAGGGCAGACTAAAGGACATGAGGGAAAGAAGTGGCTCCCATGCTCTCAGCTCATCAGTTAGATTGTGTTTTCTATGTCTCTATTGAAAATTTTAATATTTCCTATGTATGCAACCACATTCCAATCAAAAAGGTGACTCTTTGGTACATTACATGGAAGGGTGACGCGTACACTTCTTTCTTGGTACAATTCCTTATATGAATCATTTCAAACTTTTTTTAGGAATAAATTATGTTGGACCTGTACGACCTGCAAATAAGTTTTACAAGTGTTCCGTGGGCTTTAAAGTTTCCATATTTGGTTGTTTCTGTAATAATTTTATTTAATGCAAAAAACTTTTGGCATTTCTATTAGCTGGTTAATTTCCAGTAATTAGAGACCTAGGTGGACATTTCGTCATTTGAGATTCTACTCCAGTAAAAATGTTAAAGGAATACTCCACTGACAATTTTTTTTCTTATAAATCTGAAGATAAACCCCAAAAAAAGACATTTGTGTATTTTTTTTCTGCATGTTTTCTTTGGAGTGTAGAAAAAACAGCATGCAAAAGCTGCAGACCTGATGTCTGCAGCCTTTGCAACCCCTCCCATTTTTCCTATGGACAAACTTTCAGTCTGTGCCAGTGAATATTCCAATCAGAGACTTCTTATTGAGGATCCAACAAGATGGAGCCACGATAGCATTAGCGCACAAACTTGCAATCACCGATTTCCTATTCTTCTCAATAAGCTGTAATAAATTGAAAAGGGGAAAAGCAGGCACATTCCAGCTGTGACTGTGAAGGAAGAGCTAATGGAAGAGGAAGAAACCCTCCCTGGCTTTCTTAGTGAGAGCCAGTGGGGAGTTTCAGCCCCCAATTATAAAAGTGCAGATTTCTGCTAAAATCAGCACTTTTATAACCTGTCAAGAAAATAACAGACTACAGATTCATAAAGCACTTCAGAAAGCTGACGTTCTTTATTTATGTCAAGCTTTTTTTAAAGTTTCTGATATTTATATTTTGTTATATCATTGCTAGGGCTCGTTAATATAACATTGTAAAACATGCATTTTTGGAATAGTATTGACCAAAACAAAACATGTAAACAGCGTATCTTCATCTGATGAAAAGAAAAATAATTTGGACAATACCAGTTGGAAAAGTGTATGAAAATCTGCTGCTTTGTTCATTTTGGAGATGACAATTTAGTTCATAAAAACCCGAGGCTACTAAAAATCAGGGTCCTTTTTGTGCTATGACACATATAGTTTGTTCTTTACTCTTCTCTTATGATTTGACACGGACAATCTGTATCTACAGAGGTTTGCTAAACTTCAAAGATTTTGAGTGTGTTTGGAATCCTGACCTTCTACTTCAAATAACTTTTGGAACTGTATATTACATGTCACTCCCCCTATAGATAACAAGCTGATCACAGCCTGTCACATAAGATCTCCTGTAAGTCTGTTCTGTAGCACCATAAATTGTTCAATGATTTGAAGACATT